CCCTGATTTCTGATCCCCAGCTTGAGACATTGACAGGTTGGATACCCAAAAGTATATTGAGTTGAAGCTGTGGGTATTCAGCTTCTTCCAGGTCACATCTGCCAATGTCCTCATGCACAGCAGTACTTCTTTCTTTTTAAAAAAAAACAGTTTCATTTCATTTCCACTCACACATGAGAGCCAAGGCTGTACAGACAGGAATGCTTAAGACCCCGCTGGGACACTGAGGCCATCCAAAAAAGAGCAGTTCTCAGAAAGAGGAGTGTTGACACAATACTAAAGCATCTCCTAGTGCCCCAGTGTGGGAGCCCAGGGCTTCTGAATCACAGAATCATATAATAAAGCAAGTTGGAAAGGACCATCGAGTCCAACTCCTGAATAAAGAAGTCAAAAGTCCCATAGAAACGTGGAGGACTTCTGAAATTTTTGACCTTTTCCCAGCACCTTGGGAAAACAGAAGAACATAAACATACACAACTCTTTCAAAGAACACCCAACACAACCATGGGAATCTCATACTTCTGCTAAAGCCCACAGCTATTATCATTAACTAATGCCTTTCCCCTGAGAATCCCTGCCAGAGGAGTACTCACATGGGAGGCAGAAATGCTGACACATGAAGCAGTCTCAGATTTGGGTCTGGACCTCAAAGCCATTTGAAGCACCATTCAGTTCTGCCTTCAGTGTGCTGCTTTAAAAATGGCAATAATTTTGTTATGTGTAAGGATTTGCAAGGGGTGCTGCTGAATAAAACAGATTTAGGAGAGTCTACGTGTGGTGCAGCCATACACGCAGGAATGACATCTACCAGTGCTGAGCCATAAGATACTCACAGCTGGCTCTTTTGCTGCTCTAATCAGAGTAACTTCAATTGACATCTGTAATGTATGGAAGTGGAGGATGAAACTATGCTTCTAAGGACCACAGTCAGCTTCTCTTTGCTAAGTATATGCAACAGGGAATGGTGGGAAGGTTAGAGGGAGAAGTACTATGAACCTTGAATCTATGCTGCTTGAGATTATCCATGCGACATTATCCATGTTGCAAGTTTGCACCCTTCCATTACAGGGCACTCAGTAGAAAAACCTCAGCTCACTTCTCTCAGAGAGCCATGGGATTTTGCAGGCAAGGATAAAGGTGTCTTTTGTTCTAAACTATATGTGAGATGCTAGCAAAACAGATAGATAAATTAATAAATCAACCTCTAGATTTTTCTTTTTCTTTCTTTCTTTTTTTTTTTTTTTTTTGGTTCAAACTTGGTCAGAATGTGGTTTCTTCTGGAAGATCACAGAGAAATGTAATAATTTTTTCCTGCCACCATATCCAAATATTTTGCAAATGAATTTCTTGGCTCACATCTGTGCCAATAAATCTTATAAAAAGAAGGAAAAACCACACATTACAGTTCTCAAACCACCTTCCACACAGCCTTAGGCAGCTCTGAATTCAGGTTGTAATCAGTGACCAGCTAATGAAATTGCTGCTCACAAAAGAGGCTGTAAAATCATATTTGAACATCTCTCTTCTCCTTTCCACCCACTAAGCCAAAAGTCTGGTGTTTATGTGTCATGTCTGCCATCACATCAAATAAAAAGTGTGAAACCTGCCCACTAGATGATATAATGAAGAGCAGTACCACTCTGCCATCTGACCTGCTGTTACCAGCACCACTGAAAGAACTGATAGTGACATTTCAGTATTGAAAGGGGGCTATAAGAAAGAAGGGGACAGACTTTCAGCAGGGTCTGTTGTGACAGGACATGCAGAAATGGTTTCAAATTAAAAAAAAAAGGGGGAGATTTAGTCTGGATATAGGGCAAAAACTTTTTACAGTGAGGGTGATGAAGCACTGGAGCAGGTTGCCTAGAGAGGTGGTGGATGCCCTGCTCCTGGGGACACTGAAGACCAGGCTGCACGGGGCCCTGAGCAACCTGATAGAGCTGTAGTTGTCCCTTTTCAGTGCAGGGGAGCTGGATGTGGGACTGCACTCACTCCTTGTCTACACACCACCCATTCCCCTCCTTCACACTGGGGATTTTAGAAAAACCCTTCTTGTCCTTCTTCCTATATAATTCCCCAGTTTTCTAAAAAGTGCAGAATTGCTTTGCTAACCATCACCTTGCTCTGGGAATTTTTGTCCCATCTGAATAAGGGATCTCCTATCTGCCAAATCAAGAGGACAAGAAGCAGAAGATCCCAGCTCTGATTCCTCTGTACACAGAACTGAAAGGGGCCATCGCACCCAGAACTAAAGCTCTTGCTGCAGAAATGACTCAGGCACTGAGGAATCTCAGCAAAGCTGATGGGACTTGGGCTCCCATGGTCTCTGCCCTTATATGTATGAAAAACATTTTAAGACATCTGAAAAGATACACCTGAAGTTCTAATTACACTCTGCTATTTCATAGAATCATAGAATCATAGAATGGCCTGGGTTGAAAAGGACCTCAAAGATCATCTAGTTTCAACCCCCCTGCCACAGACAGGGTCATCAACTACTAGACCAGGCTGCCCAGAGCCACCAAACCCTTAACCCATACAGTTAGGTCCCAGTACAAAACCTTATCAATAAAACATTTTACAAACTCAGTGACCACCTGTGGCTGAATGCAGCACTGAGATGAGGGTGTCTCCTGCAGGACCTGAGAGCTGCCTTTTGAAGACATACCTGTTCTTCTCATATTAACCTCCTCTCCTTTTCTACTGGCAAGAAGCCCATATATATATATTCTAGAAAAGGTTCTTCACCAGAAGTCAGTGGGCATGGAACAGGTTGCCTAGGGAAGTGTCACAGCCCCAAGTTAACAGAGTTCAAGGAGAATTTGGACAAAGTATCTGATTTTTGGGTGGTCCTGTGGTGAGCCAGGAGTTGGATTCAGTGATCCTCAGGGATCCCTTTCAACTTGGGGTACTCTATGATTCTATTAGACATCTCCTTGAGCAAGAGATATCTCTCATGAGCAAGGTGGTCATGACAGATAAATATTTATAATATCTTATATCACTTGCAATATCTATTTTACTGTTTAACATCTCTTAAGCAGACCAGATCACGCCTGATCTTCCCTCAAAAATCCTATAAATACTGCACAGACTAATTCTCCTTCCCAGTTGCTCTGCCCTACGTGTATCATCTCTCTGCATTGTCACACTAGTCACCCCCATTCTCTCATCACCTTTTGTATAACAACCACAAATCTCTCCTTCAGCAGCTTACTACTTCCATCCCACAGCAGCTCAGGTGTGGAGAAGGTCCACAGAAAGCCAGCTCCTCACTGGAGCTTTCTTTCTAAAGATGGCACAAGCTCCTAGGGTCCAACTCCACATCTTGGTTCAGGAGATGGCAATGCCCTGGGATACTTCGAAGAGATGGAGTTCCACCAGCACAGATAGTTTGATAGCTTGAACTGGAAACAGTCCAGAACCATGACTCTTTTAGACTATTTTTTTATATTCTTTCAACTCTTTTTTAGATACTCTTTAGACCAAATACATCGCCAGAACTATTCAGATTTCACCCACTCATTCATCCCCATAGCAGACGCATGTGTCTGCATGCACTCACGCATACTTTCATGCTACAGCTGCTTTTCTGACAAACAGCTTTGATATCAGGGAGCCTGGGATAGCCACTATGAGATTTCCAAGGCACTCACACACATCTCCTGTAATAACACTGCTGGAGGGGAGAGGGAGGAGTTGGTGTCTCCTGTTCTGTTCATGTGACTTTTTGCTTGCTCAACAAAATCAGAGTTGATTATTACCTCTGAGAGACAGAGGGGTGCATTTTGTTACTAGTTTTGTGATCGTTGGTTTGGAGGGTTTTTTTTTCTGTTTTGAAGAGGCACCATATCAGCCTATCTCCACATTCAAGCAGGACTTATCGTCTGCCATCTGCCTGCACACAGGTGCGTTTCACCACACCACGCGTGCTGCTTTCTCGCTGTAATGCCCCACTTCATCTCTCTACAAACCCCACGACCGCTGGTGCCAGCAGCCCTACAAAGACAAATCCCCCCCGTGCAAAGCAGTTCATTTCACCCCCCTGCGAGCAGAAGCGATGCTCAAACACTGCCTTACACGTGGCTGTCTCAGGGAATGCCACAGCCTCAAGCGTGTCGCTGGCACCCACACTCTGCACCTCTTTCGGGTTACCCACCGCTCCTCAAAGCCTCCGGGGACTGGGACTGTTCCCGGCTCTCCCGTTGGGAACAGACACTCCCCGCACGCACCACCTCCCTGCCTTGGCCGTCATTTTCCTAAACGCGACCGCTCTTACCCCGGCAGCGAGAAATAAAACTGCCCGGAGGCAGCGCTGGCAGCGGCACCGCACCTGAGGGGAGCGGCCGGCAATGTCTGCTCCCGGCCCCGGTCCTTCTGCCAGCCCCGGTCCCTGCACGGCTCGGCATGACTCCAGCCCCGCTCCCGGCACCGCCGTGTACCGCCGCCCGCCTCTCCGCTCCAACCTGCTCCCCTAGCAGCCTGATTCTGGCTGCTCCGGGCAGCACTGGATCACCTTTTCCTCCTTGTTTTGCTCCACAATAAGAATAGTAGCAATAAAAGAAAATAAACAAGCAAACAAAAAGAGAAACCCACAGTTTTGTGTGCAAATTCACCTGGATGCTGAGCAGAGATGAACTCAACTCACAGGCACTTCTGCACTTTTCCTTTTTCATTTTTCCTTTCCTTACTTCTTCTTCTTTTTTTTTCCTTTCCTTTTTCCTTTTCCCTTTATTCCTTTCCTTTCCTTTCCTTTCCTTTCCTTTCCT